TGATAAGAGTTGTATGAGCCCCCAATAAAACGATTAAAAAAAACCTTTCTCTCTATAAAAGAATGATAAAGCAAAGCAAATAGCATAAAATGTTTGGAGAATCGGTGTAAAGGTACATGAGAATTCCTTGTGTACTTTTCCAAGTCTTCCGCGGTCTGAAATTTTCCGAAATGAAGAAAACAACTCCCAGCCATCATTACCATTCAAATTTTCATGTTAGAAAACCGAGGCACAGAATCAGGAAGGGGCTTGCCCAAAGTCACAGAGCTGATAAATGCCAGAGGTGACACTGAATGCAATCCCTTTCCCCACATGGACTATTCTAGAAATACTGGGTCCCACGGCGGCATATGTCCTCACCTGATGTCCTGTGGCGGGGCGACCTCAGGCTTCAGCTGAACACTCAGGGGCACCCTGTGCTCTGCCAGCCAGATGGCACACTGCACGGCCACCTTCTCATCCCCGCCTGCCACTGCCCGAGTGAGGCTCAGGGCCACCTCTTCTGCTGAAAGCCATCAGGGCAGGAACAGGTTAATACCAGAGTCTCTTTCAAGAGTTAGGTGTGAGGGAGGAGGGGAGGTGACCCTGTACCTGTGGCCTACTCTCTGTCTTCCTGCCCAACTCCTACATAACCTTCAGCACCCAGCTTGAAACTCCCCTCCTCTGAGAGACCTTCCTGACATTTTGCCCACCCCTCCCCAATCCAGGCTCAGTTGGCTTGATTTTTTTTCCCCTCCCTAGTCCCACTCATTTACCCAACATGCATTATTAGCTCCTACTGCACGCAGATCAACTCCCCGAGGATTGGATTCGTCAGTGACCAAGAGGAACAGCCTGACAATGAACAAGTTTAACAAAGGAACCTAAAAAAACGTGGACTGCGGTCACTGCTCAGGAGGTCAGGGAAGGCCTCGGAGAGAGAGGTCACGCTGAAGCAGAGGCCTGTGGGATACTGGCAGGGTCTGACTCAGGGAAGAGAGGTCAGGGGGAGAGAAGAGCGAGGACAAAGGTCTTGTGAGAAGACACGGTAGGATTAGAAGGAAGAAAGCAGGGAGGGCAGTGCTGTGGCCTTTCTAGGCCTTTCTATAACGGCAGGCACAGGGCAGTGGAAGGCCTGGCTTGGATGGAGGCACCCTTTGAGACTAGGGCACTCCCTGGTATCAGGTCGGGCTCCAAGTTCAATGCCCACAGAGCTGGCCCTTGGAAAGTCTCAGGATCGGCAAGTAAGTGAAT